ATTCTGTAGCCAAATAACAAACGAATGGCCCAGTACCCCTTGCACGGTGCAGTGCCCTGTTTCTTTTACATCTGTTTCTCCTGCTTTTGTGTCATGCCTCTGTTTAGCTTTATTGACAAAACAATCTGTGGCTAATGTTTAAACAACATCTGTAAAATGTATTATTAAATTACATTGGGAGAAAAAACAGAGCAATTCTATGAAACCCTATGACCCCCTATTGATTTTTAGATCACAGAAGTTGAAAGGATAATTTGTGAATGTTTTAACATTTACATCTGTGCAGGTACCTATATTTATAGGATCTTTGATTACTTATAAAAGTATTTGCTCCATGATTACCATAACTCAGAAAGAAACCTGACCTTTACCAGTTGAATCTGTTTATAATAATAAGGGAGATCCTATTTTTTAAAAAGTACGTTTACATTTTTACCTGCCAGTGGCATAAATCTCTAGGGATAACATACGTTTCCCTCCAACTAGGAATGAATGGGAAGTGATGCCTGAATGCTTTGCAGTTTTGCAGGCAATAAATGAAGCAACTAGGAAACTCTGGTGCGTGTACTCAACCTGTGACCGGTAGCGCTGAGATACTTCTATAAAGTGTCACCTCGGATGACAGGATGCTCCCTGGGATTGTATGCAACCGACTGCTGGACAGTGGTTTTTCTCTCCACATACATACTGTATTTCACATACATTATATGACTTGCACCCTAAAATCTGTATTGCCTTCTTAGAGGGTAAAGGAATATTCATCCTACTTTAGCCTTAGTGGGAAAATGTTGGGATGAGAAGTAGCAAACAAAGAAATGTAAAATGTATTCCGCGCACCCTCCGCTAGAACTCTGCTGAGGCATCCAGCAAATAAGCTACAACCACAGGCACACGTTTTCGTCACGTGCAATTCCCAGGTCTACAACACTGCTGTGGAAACATATAAGGCAGTTTTCATTTGACCATTCTACACTCACATTCTCAACATAAAGAAATAAAGTTGGTCTGAAGAAAAAAGAACCAAGTATCAGCTGTGTATGTGTGTGGAGTGTGTGTGTATGTGTGTGTGTGTGTGTGTGTGGCTCTCTCCTCTTGCTTCTTCTAAGTCCTTCCTTTGTTTTACTGTCCCCACCTGTAATAAACATACTCTCAGAATCACCTGGGCTTGTACTATGCAATCTTTCCTGCACAAAGTCAAGAACCCACACACTACAGGCCAGCCAAGGCAGACCCACAGCTGGCCCGGTCCTTACCTGGTGATATGTATGTGTTTTCTTTAAAGTTCTACCTACATAGTTAAAGACTCAAACAACCAACTAAGCTCAAATTTTAAGAAGTTTCTGTTTAAATGATTACAACATTCAACATATGAGTAATACATTTTCACTGCTGATACAACACAACAACAATGAAAAAACAAAGAGACAAAACCCCAGATGCTATTATTTATCATTTTTGGATCAAACCGTAATGGGGAGTGAGGCAGCAAAGACAGAAGAATATACAAATTTATAGCATATACTATATTTCAAAAATTAGTATGCTTCAAGTGTAAGTGTATCACAGCATGCTAGATGGAAATATTTAGGCAATTGGTTATGGAAGTTGATATTTAAAAACCATGCAGTTACCTCAAATACTTAGATAATTTAGGTAAAAACATATTTTAACTCAAATTATTTGCGTTATTGTCTGAATTCTCAAAAAAAAGATTATTGGCACAGACTTGTCCCATGATGTCTCACCTAATAAATTTAATTCATTTCACATTCCATCCTAGGTCCCAATTCCTATAAGTACTAATACCAGTCATTTTCAGGTTCCTCCTCTCTGTTTTCATTCTGGCAGGTAAACCAAATATAAAAATTATAACAGCTAGTCCTTTTAATTCAAACTTTCTCTTAATCAAATCTGTCTCGTTTTACATTTAGATTACTGTTGAAATTATCCCTGTTCTCTTCGTCCCCCAAACACCATATGCTTTGACCTTAGTTAGCCAAGGCCGAAAGTATATATCACCTATGTGAGTTAAATAAACGTAGAATCGGGTCAGCAATGAGATGAAAGAACCATTACAACGCACCCAACTTTTTTTCATCTCATTTTTCAGTTAAAACCTAACTTATGGCTGCTTTGGCCAGGGTTTCTATGACAAGCTAACAACCAGACATGCGTTTATATTTTTCACTTTCAGACTGTGTGTTTTCATACATCATGTTGCTGCCAATAATTATGACTGATCTGCACCCAACCTGCCCTTCAGCATTTTATTAAATCTCTTCAACGGTGACTCATAGTTTGTACAAAATGTACATGTGTGTTAACAAGTTTTAAGAAATCCAGGAAGGAAGACAAATTTTTAAATGTTGTGGCTAAATGAAGTGAAAGGGAATGAAGATTCTTTTCAAAAATTGTTATTTCCCAGAGGAAATAACTTGAGCTTGATGCTCAATACAGGAAAAATGTTTACAAGCTCTCAGAAAAGCTTTGTGTGATTTGTATTATGATAGAGTAAATGAAAACCATTTTACTTCAGTGGTTATGCTCCTGTTCAGTCTTCAAGTAATCCTAGTGTGAGTACCATCTGGGTTATCCCAGGTTTTTTTGCATCATATTTCCTACCCAAACCCTAAATAAAAAGAAATCTATTATCAGCTCCTCAACAGAAAGTGTGGGTGGAATTAATAAACCGTTAAAAACTCAAATCAAACATGGGAATGTCATTATTCACCCAACATAAGAGAAGCAATATCTCTTATAACGTTGAGTTAGTTGAGGGGAATTCTCTACCACAAACCAAGTTGTTAGAAGAGTTGGAACAGTTGCCAAATCCGAAGCAATGAAGTGCAAGCAAAAGTCACTGCTAACTCCAGGTAGAAGTGCACATGACACAGGGCCACTTGGGATCAGAACCGTGCTTATGTCCCGAGGAACTAAGTCAAAGTGGTTGTTAAGTTATGTACCTGTGCAGAATTGAGTAGCAGGATGGAGTTTAGGGTAAAGTCTACATATACTTTGAAAAATTATCATATGTTATGTAGCGTCACGTTTTTAAGGTCCTCTCCCCCCTTTCTAATTGCAAAACTGAAGCAGTCAGATTGTGATCACTGTGCCTAGAACCTAAGGAAATAACAACTGCATGCGGCTTGGTGTCGCCGGGATGCCTGCCTGCCCCTGCATCTACAGGAATAGCCATAAGTCTGTCCACCTGTAGAAAGCAACTTGTCTTGGAATTTAGTCTCTGGTAACAATGTGTGTTTATGGATGAAGTTTGCTAGCAACACTGAGAAGGAAGAGAGATGGCATGTGTGATAGATCCCTGAATGGCAGAGCTTTGCCTTCTCTAATTAGAGCTCACCCTGCCACTCCTTGGCCCTCGAATGGGAACGTTTCCCAGGGAAATATGATATTTATGCAGCCTCCATTGTATTAAAATTGCTTCCTCATCAGCTTAACCTGGAAACTATATATGAATTTAGGTGTGCATGCAAAATTGATGGTCTACCTTATACTAAATTCCAAAACAAGTTGAAAGACTACAGTTAAATACATACCATCAACAGTCTTGAAAATTTATACACAAGAGCAGGTAAAAATAAACCAACCAAAAAACCTCAGCAGCAACACAACTCCTAGTAACACATCTCGGTACAGTGTGTCTTCTGTTGGTTCCCTAACCACTTGGCTAAAAGGGCTGCAAAAAAAATTGATCTCCCAAGCTGCAGTGAGGTCAGAGAAATTGATAACCCTGACAAGCACAGCTTATGTGAGTCTGTCTGTGTCTTGAAGATAGTGCACTTTGTAAATTAATCCTCCAAAGGCAAATATATTGTAAGGAGCTTGTTATCTCTAAAATACTAAATTGAAGAATACATGGAATTATATTGACAGAAATCACATTCTCTGTAATGGAGTTTAATATATCTGAAATCTCTCCCAAAGGCTCCCAGGCTCTCTAACAGAGAGAAGGGTCTGTTAATAGAGGTGCAATGGACATCAAGAACGAATTTATTCACCAAAATGGATTAGGCCATGTAATCAGAGATTCAGTAATATTAATCTTTGACACTTATTGAACAGAAAGAAACACTTCTGTCTGCAAACTAGCACTCCCAGTTCTCTGCTTTCCCCAGCCAGGCTTTGGGCCTTTTCTGGATTTTACTTCAAAGAGGATAAGGTTTCTCCCATCATAAACACTAATCTAAAAATATTAGGACAATTAATTAGATACACTTCGTTTCAGAGGATATTGGGTTTCAATACCCTTCAAATATGACACTAGCTCTGGGTGACGATGGGAGCCTGGCTTTCAGCACACTCACAAAGGGTAATAAATCCTACTCTCTCAAAGCCTCCCTGCATACACCACACACTAAACCAGAATATTGTTGGCTGATTCTTGGGACATAGTCTCAGCTTCTCCCCACATCAAGAATTTACACATTTATTTAGAAACAATTCCAAGGCACATCAGGTTTTGAGCAGCTTCAAAGTAGAAACAAGTAATTTCTCCTTTTCCAAAGACAGGAGATAAGAGGGAAAAAAGGGGGGGGGTGTCCCTTGCATGCACAGCCCTAACAAAATCTAACTAAATTTAGTTATTCAATGAATTGAAAACCTGATCGATATGTGATGGTGGATTTTCTTGTTTCATAGAAAATAGGATGGTTTTACTCTTTCAATCGATGTTCCTGAAAAGGGGGGCGAAGGGAGCCATAGGGAGGGATACGCTCACAGAGCCATCGTGCAGGTGAACTCTACACTGACTTAGACGGTGCCTAGCAAGTGGCGGTTAATAAAGGAGGGGGAGGCTGTGCATCGCTGTCTTTTCCGTGTTAGCAGAGACTCTCAGCCTCACTCCGCAGCTTGTTTTCACTTTGGGATGGGACAAGCCACCAGGGAGACAGCTGACCTGGGTGTGTCTTCTTCATGCAGAACCCGAGCTGCAGGTCGCAGAGGGGGGAGCAGATTGTGTGCAAACACAAAACCAAGTTACTTACCAATTGTTCACTTGAAGGATGGTGAGTCCCGTGTCTTGTGCCAACTGCTTTTTCTGTTCTTCAGAAGGGTAAGGGTGCTGGAAGAGAACAGAACAGATAGGTGTGTGCGCGTGTGCTGCGGGCAGAGAAGGTCGTGCACATCCCGTGCCGGGTGCCACGGCAGGGGCCAGGGATTCAGTAGTACACAGATATGCTCTTTAAACAGGGGACGTGTACGTCAAGCAATATTTAGGCTATTTGTCAATAACCTAAGTGTCTAGCGAAGTCTAATTAAAGGTAAAAATGCTGAGGTGTGTCACTCTTATTAATGGAATACTACATCATCTAATTAATGGCAGTAAAAGACAGCCAATTACAAAGATTAGTGAAGTGTATAAATAGCTCCGTAGGATACTTGCAGAACCTTGATACTGAGTTTATCCTTTAACAGGTTTATTCGCTGCAAACATGGAAAGTTCAGTATGGTCTTCACTATATTTTATAGGATAAAAATCAAGACAAGCCCTTTGGACCATACACAAGTGTACACGCCTTGATGGAATATTTTTATTAGAACCATGGACTCCCAAAGCAGAACCTTTTGGACCAACCTGCTCAGCTAAGGCCTCCAGCAACTAAGGACTTTGACAGCATGACACTCTCTCTCCAAATACCATATTGCTGGATGCAAATATCAAAATTAAAGTGGGTGCATTTTTAATCCACGGTTCCTCTGAGCTATTCTGAGAAGCACAAACAAACTCACTTCAACCAAAGTTTGTTTCCCTATCTGAATGTCAACACATGCTGGGATTCTGAACATAGGCCAATATAAGGTCAAAGACCAGCATAGTTTGCATGCTATGAACAAGCCCAGCTATGCTCCTCATAAAACAGGATAAAAAAGCATTACAGGATTAGATAATAAAGCGAAATCCGTACCTTCTTGTAAGAATGTTTGGAATTCTACTGAAATGAGTTTGGGCACAAATACGTTTTGCTGAATAATCAACTATATCTGAATCGGAAATATACATTCCTACAGCCTGGGGCAGGAGCTGAGGACACGGTGTGCATCTATGGAGACATTGCCTAGTTTGCAACACTGCATTCTAGTAAACTCTCCCGAGATAAAAACCGTTCTGATAGTCAACAGCCTATTCTCTTATGGGTGGGAAAGGGCACCCCTAACTCTCAATTTAACTGCCTGTGCCACAGGAAACTGAATTCTGGTCTATTGAATGTTAATTAACATAGCTTTTAATCTCATTAATAATGTCTGATTAGATGCTAAGAAGGCTCGTTAATGACCACTTTAAAGCTCTCATATGCACCTTTGAATATGTTCTCTATCTATACACCTGGGATTCGTTGGCGGAGGGCAGAGATGTAGCAATTTTTCCCATAAGCATTGTCTTTGATTGTCACTTAATCAATAAATACACAATTAGAATAAGGCTTTGCTTTCATGGAATATAGTTCCTTTCTCTAAAGAGCTCCAAGTATATTAGAGACAAGATGGTAATTAATCCCCATTATATCCCTTTGGGGGACATAAATGGAATCGATTGTCCCTCCTGTTTTACAGGTGAGGAAACTGACCAGGGGGAGAGATGACCAGCAGCCACACCACTCAGCGATATTTCCTGTTTCCCTCCCAGGGTCTAAGCTGCACCATGAAAGAGGGACGTGATCTCTACTCCCGGCCCCTGCCCCCAAGCCTTCAGACTGCTTACCAGGACTTGCTAGGCCCGCCACTCCCCAGCCCTGCCCACCTCTCGGCCTGGGTGGCCTTTTCCTCAGCCCACCTCAACCCTCCTTTCCATCCTTTCAACACTCAAGCTTGTCCCTACCACTCAGGTCCCTGCTCCAATGTCACCTTTGTGTCTCAACTCAAATGCCAAGCCTTACCCACTCCACTCTCCACCTGCCCACCTTATGACTCTCACACCAGTCTTTTCCTTCTTACTGAACAGCAAGCACTGCTCCCTCAAACACTTGTTCTGACTACCTGTTTCCTTGGTGTGTCTCTACCCACTCATTTAGCAACTCCCAAGCCTGTGCCTTGGTTGTTCACCATTCTCAAATCCCAGACTAGCAGAACAGAAAATCAGTAAATAGTTGTGAAATAAAGGGATAGTCACTCAGATGCAACCTCAAAAGGTACAATTAAAATTTTTCAAAGCCCACAAGAGGAATAAACAATGCAATTTGAGATCCATAACACCACTTTCCTTACTTCACTCCTAAAAGTGAGTCAACCCACTCTTTTCAAATAAAAGTATATAAGCCTCATAATAGGCTAAGATCATGTGACAATCTTTCTACTCAACATAGTGCCAATCATCCTGGCAAAAAGCTCATGATTGGATACTGGGCTAAGAGCAATCTTCTGGGCTAAGAGCAATCCTCGACGCCAACGTTTAAAACATACCTCCCACAGCATAAAGGCTTGCCACACAATGCAAGCAAATGAATCTCTTATCCGATGAATAGAATTAAAGTGGGTATATAGTAGTTCCATGTCAACACTAGTGGAAGAATTGTACTTAGGCGCACATGACCCTATCAGATTGTATGTTATGCTGCCACTCACTGAGACTTTGAACAAGGAACAACTTTTCTAATTCTCAATTTTGTCATCTAAGAGCCATCAAAGTTAAAGGTTACCCAGGCTAGCAATTCTTACAGAATATAAGCCTGATTTTGAAATATGGAAATCTAAGCATCCAGCTATTGGCACTAAGCAGGTCCCTGGATGAAGTCGTTTCTCTCAATGTCATCTTGTTACAACGTTGATGAGATGCTGTGGGAACTTGACTCTTGTTTACATCATCAGCCGATAGTAAAATTGGTTTCGGTATGCTTTATTTTGATGAAAGGTTAAGAACCTACTGATGACATTAAGTGAGAATGTACTGTATTTGCCATATAAAGTGGTAGACCGATGTACACAAGTGGTTTCCAATCTGGAACATTTTCTGTAATTTTCGTATAGTTTTATGGCTCCTATGAAAATCTCTTTTAGTGATTTTCAGTAGAATTAACAAACATGTCAATAGTCTCTCTTTACTATAGCTGGATGGCAGTACCGCTGTTCTGTATTGTTAGTTGTATCTTAATAGTATGACCAGAACTGGATAAAAATTAATATTTATGCCACTTACCTTTAGTTACTTTGAAAATTGAGAATTGTCACAGCCATTTATTTGTGCTGTGTTTTCAAGAATATTTCTGCATGCCTGTTTCTGAGCAAGTTTTAGATCTAGTCTTACAAAGCAAATGGAATTCACATTTTATTTATGCAAGTGGTGTCAGAAAAATTCTCTTTGGATCATTAAAATTACCTGAATCATTACAGCTTCAAAGAGCAATCAGATGGCCCTCAAAGTTTCAGTGCAGATTTAGATTGTTTTTCACATCCTGCAGTTTCTGATTTCATAATTTAAATATCATAAAATGAGAAAGTTCTACCCTTTTTTCCCCTCTGTCACTTTTCATGTGATCTGATTTTAAGTAATTGGAACAAACTGTGTCTAATTTCATGCAGCATAATTGCTAGGCAGCCTCAAGCTATGGAGACCCAGCACTCTGTCTCCATTAAACCATTTTCAGTTGTTCAGGATATATATTTTTTAATAAAAATGAATAAGCCTGGACAAGATTAAATGTCACAGTAATCTGGTCATTGTTAACGGGGGGAAAAAGGGTATCGACAAAATTCCTACACTCTTGTCTGGGGCAGGTCAACTGCATAGTGTTTTTTCTTCCTCCTAGTCCTTGGCCTTGGGGGTTCCACAAAGGCCAATTCCCTGGGAAAAAAATCTATAATTACTAGTATTACATGAAAGCCATGACTTCAGGTACCTAATCTACAGCCAGACAAAAATTCACAAAGAAGTTGGCTTTTTAACTGAAATCCAGTATGTTTAAATATCTTAAACCTTATGCATCGTTACCAGCTAAGCTTTCTGTGGACAGTAAGAGCTATTTCTTTGTAGACTTTAAAAAAAAAAAGAAAAAAAGGCAAAAAACCAACATGCCACAGGCAAGGCTGCTCTACAAACATTCAAAGCCCCGGTGCATTCCGCCCAGGGCCAGGGAGGCCATAAGATGGGCAAAGGTAGACATCATTTTACAAAAGAGATAAAGACAAGTGCCATTTTAGGAAGAAAATGGGAATTTCATTCCAAACCATTGTCACTAAAGAGGCTAGGTCACCCCTTGCCATTCCCCTGAACACCTCTGCTATTATTGCACCTGAATGGCAAGGACACTAATTTAAGAGAGATCAGGAGGTTCTTGTGAAGGAAAGACGGATGGCACTTGCCAGATACAGCAATCAACCTAATCACTTGGGGATATCAGAGCAAATTTGACCATTCCGATAGACAGGGACAGGAGGCCTCACCTTTGTTGTGTACATTAGCCTCATGCCATTATCTCTTAAAAGCTTAATTATTTGCAAACAATTGATCAAGATGGGAATTTGAGAAAGGATATGCAAGGGCCACTGGGAGAACTGCAAGGCATTAAGAGAGCAAACGAAATTACCGTTAGATCTTACAATAAGAATTAACGATTGAGCCGGGAGAGCTAGGCTGTGCGGTAGCTGCAAGGGTTCTTTCTCGAGTGTTTCCCATTTGATCTGCATTAACACCTCAGGAATGAGTGAAAGCCATAAAACAGTGATTATGTATGGGTAGAGCTGACCCTCCTTCCCGGCATTAAGCCTGCACACAAGTATTAGGCTGGCTCCGCGAGGAGAGGAGAGCTGCTGGACTCCAAGGGAAAAGAAGTGGCTTGTGGGTACTGGAACCCCAGCTAAAGGAAACAACTCACAGGATGGTCATCTCGGTTTCAGTAATCAACACCCTGACTTCTGTCCAGTGTCCGTCTCTTGCTGAAACAGTAATTGTCTGCCACTCTTCATGTGTTTCTGGATCTGCATGGTGACGTCTAATAATGCTCCAGGACAGCAGTGATGGCTTAGAAACCCCATCAAAGAGTAAAATGATTTCTGGAATGTATGTCCTGTGTAGTAAGAATCAAGAATGTCTGAAAGAAAAAAAATCTACATATGCCTTCCTGTCAAAGT